ACCTCCGGCATTCGATCAGTTATGCCTCCGTCTTTTTGGTATCCCATGCGTGGCCTGCGGATGCCGAGCCTCGAGGTTCGAACTGCGCTAGGTGCCGCCGGTCGCGTGGGCGCGGCGCCCTCGTGGTGGCCGCGGCCTGGAGCCGCTCCCCAGAGGTCGCTGGGCAGGACGGCCCCCTGGGCGGTCCGCGGGGGCCGAGGGAGGGAGGGGGGGAGGTGGTGCCCCCTCCTCCTCCTCCTCCTCCTCCTCTCCTCCTCCTCTCTCCTCCTCCTCCTCTCCTCCTCCCCTCCTCTCCTCTCTCCTCCACCTCCTGCTCCTCCTCCCCTGCTCCTCCTCCTTCTCCTCCTCCTCCTCCTCCTCCTCCCTCCTCCTCCTCCTCCCTCCTCCTCCTCCTCCTCCTCCTCCTCTCCTCCTCCTCCTCCTCCTCCCCATCCCCCCCTTTCGTTCGGCCCGAAAGGAAGGGGAGGGGGGGATTTGGATGCCCCCCCTCCCCTTCCTCTCGGGCCGAACGAAAGGGGGGGATTGGGAAAGGAGGGGTTACGAAACCTGCTGCAGGCAGCTGGCTTCGGCCCCCCGACGAGGGGCCCATCCCTCGATACATGGCCGCCTCTGGCGCCGGGAGGCGACGGGGAAAGCAGCTACGTGAGCTGATTCTCAAACCCCCCCTTTGCTATCCCCCCCTTTCGCCCGGCCCGATCCTCGCAGACGTAGCCGCTTTCGTCTTTCTCCTGCTTCTGCCTCGCTTCGGGGTGCTTTCCAGCAGCCACGCCTTGTCTGGAGCGCTCCGGGGGTGCTCGAATTGTCCCGATCAGCCGCGGGGGCAAGAGTTATGGCCTGGGGGCGGGGGCGGGGAAGGGGGGGGCGGAAGGGAGGGAGAGAGGGACGCAGCCAGCCAGGTGCGCTCACGCCAGATCTGACATCCTGCCCCTCACACCCGTCGCTTTCCATTGCGCTGATTGTTGCTCTATCCGCCGACGGGTGCTACAGCGGACATGGCCCCCCCCCCCCAGAGAAAGAGTACCGAGTGGTCTGGGGAGTAGCGGTATCGGTATGGTTTCCCCCCCCCCGTGAGGAAGGAGGAGGAAGGAGTGGTGAGTGAGGGGGGGATGATTGGGTGGGCACAGCCTGAAGGCGCAGGGGCCTATGCTGTCAGCTCTTTCCAGTGTGCCCTACGCGCACTCGTCCACCCAACCCCCAGATCGACCAGATGCGAGGAGGGGAGGGGAGGAGATTACAAGACACTGAACCGAGCCCGAAGACTGGCTGGGCATTCCAAGGGGCACGCTTGAGGAGGGAGGCGGAGGAGGGAGTTGCAAGGGAGGACCTTTTCACCCAACGTTGCGAACAGAACCATGCCGTAGCCCCAGACCCATTTTTTCTGCTGCATGCTCCCAGCCGGAGCGATCTAGGAGTTGCGAGGAGGCAGGAGGACAGAGGAGGAGAGGAAAGAGGATGAGCTGGGAGGTCGGGGGCCCAGACCCCCGACGTCGTGATTGTTTCGCGACGTCGACATCGGAGGCCTGGACCCCTTCCTGGGAAAACTGGTTTTTCTCGTCCTGCGTCGTTTCCTTTCTTACCCTCCCGAGACCTAGCAGGGGCCCCTGAGGCCGAAAGCAGCGAGAAACCTCCCGTCGTGCTGTTTGCACAACGCGAGGAGGTCGGGGGCGGGGGCGGGGGGGATGAGAGGGGAGGTCGGGGGCGGCGGATGAGATGGGATGAGAGGGGACGCGGGGAGGATGAGATGGGAGGTCGGGGGCGGCGGCCTTCAGGGCGGGGAGGGCACCCCGGCGAACCCCCGAGGTGGGGCTCTGCGCACTGCTGGCGGTGCTCTCGGGGCTGTGCAAGGAGCGCCGCCTTTTCCGCGCGCGGCCGCCTGCCAGGGGCCCGGCCGGGCAGCCCGCCGGTGGGTTTGGCTCTGTTCGGCTCCTCCGGTTCGATTCGATTTCGATTCCTCGGTTTCGATTTCGATCCGATTTCGATTCGATCCCTCTGGTTCGATTCGATTCGATTTCGATGGCTTCCGATTCCGATTCGATTCGACTTCGGATTCCGATTCGGGTCGAAGAAGAATCAACTGCATAAACATAGGCTTTTGGCGCTCCGCGCGGATTTCTCGGATCCGCGCCTGGCCCCCCCCGGCGGCGCCTCCAGCGCCGCCCCTGGCGCGCTTCGCGCGCCAGGGAGGGGTGTCCAGCGCAGATCCAAGAAATCCGCGCGGAGCGCCAAAGCCTTTGTGTTTATGCCGTTGTCTCTTCTCCCAGATCTGGCCTCAGATTTCTCAGCGGAGGCCTGCTGTAGCTCGCCGATTTCTGCCGGTTCGACTTCTCCCGACCCAGCTGCCGATCTCCGCCCATCCGGTTCATGTCGATCGCCGATCCTAGGGGGCATGTGAACCCTACCCCTGCCCCCCACGATTTTCGAGGGGGGGGTAGGGGTAGGGTTCACATGTGGCCCCCCAGGATCCGACTTGTCGATTCGATTCTGGGCTCGCGGCTCGCCTGCGGGGATGGGGGACGGTGGGGTCCCCACGCACCCTCTGATACGTCCAATGACGTTCGAGCAGCGCGAGCGAATCCAAGTGTGCAGTCGAGCAGTGCAGATGTCCGTCCCTCATGTCCACACAAATAGGGGGCCACATGAGGGGGAAGGGTGGGGTTCACTTCGTTCGGGAGCTCACGAGCGAAGTGAACCCCACCCTCCCCCTCAGAAATCGTGGGGGGTAGGCGAACCGCACCGTGAATCTATTATTGGGCCACCATTGGCGCAGACCAAGAGTGCTCCAGTAGCCGGCTTGGGCCGAAAACGTGCAGAGCAAGACACATTGAGCACATTTGGTGCGATCCCATGGAAGCAAGGCCGTTCTTCTCGTCGACAGTGTGCCGACAAACCAAACGATGCCTGCGTTCCGCAGCCATTCTGTCTCAGGCCGCCACGGCTCGCGAACCCGACGCGCGCGCGACGTCCTCGCGCAAGCGCGCCCCCCCCCCAGGTAAGTACCCAGGGCTCCGCATCGTCTGGCCGACCCCCAATACCCCGCTGGGCCCTGACAGCCCAGGCTCCACCAGCCCACACCCGTATATCTGGGGATATACGCCCCGCGAGACCCGAAGCGCACAGCCGACGACGTCCCCACCCACCCACAACCCGGCGGGAACGTCGGCCAGTGAGCCCGGGGCCACGCCGGCGAGGCCGTGGGGTCGGCCATATACCGACGACATATCGAAGCCGAGGGCGCGGCCCCCCCGCGAGCGCGATGCTCCGCCGCGCCCTCGGCCTGCTCTGCGGCGGCAGCCCCTCGGCGGAGGCCGGGCCGCGGCGCGCGAGGCCCGCGGCCGGCGCCGAGCCCCCCCCCGCGCCGCCCCCGCGCACGGGCCGCCCCGCCGCGCCCGCGGAGGCCGGCGAGCCGCCCGCGCCCGCGCGGGCCGCGGGCGCGCGCCCCCGCGGCGGCCTCTGCGCCCGGCCGCGCCTCGGCGCCCCTGCCGGCGGCCCCGCCGCCGGCCCTGCCGGCGGCCCCGCCGGGGGCGGCCCCGCCGGGGGGCGGCGCCCTCCCGCAAGCCGCCGCCGGTGGGGCTCCAGTCGGGCGTGTCCCTCTGAAGGAGGAATCCTCGAAGTATATAGTCCTTGGGGGGCGATTTCCCGAGGATCTTAAGCGGCCCTTTGTGCCCTGCTTCCTGCCGGGACTGTTCACTTGTTGCTCCTTCCTCGTGCACGGTCCGCCTGCAGAAGGACATGCCCCCAGAGATCCGACGTCGTGATTTTTTCAATTCGGGGTCCCCAGAGGTCTCGACCCATCCTCCAGGACCGGTTTTTCATCCTGAATCGATTTTTGGCGGTCCCGGGGCCCAGCGAGGGCCCCTTGAGGCCGAAAATAGCGAAAAACCTCCGTCTTGATTTTTTCAATACGTTGGATCTCTGGGCCCGACCTCAGGTGGGGCCTCGGCGCCGCTGCCGGCGGCACCGCCGCCGCCCGAGGCGGGCGCTGGGCGGCCCGGCGCCGCCGGGGCGTCCTCGCCGCCGCCGCCGGCGGCGGCGGCCTCTCCGGCGGGCACGCGGCTGCCCGACGTCGCCGAGGAGCCAAGCCCCGCCGCGTCGGGGGCCAAGCGTGATGAGCCTGTATTCCACCACCACAAAGTGGAGGGGAAGGAGGGGGGGGGCGAGGAGAAGGAGGACGAGGAGGAGGATGACCCCACCCCCTCCAACTTATGGTGGTGGTGGTGGTGGAAAGCACGCCCATCAAAGCGGGGCAGGAGTTCTGTGGCAAGTCGGGCACGTCCCTCCCTGCAGGAGGAGCCTTCAAGACCAGCCGGAACAAATCGTCTGGGGGAACGACTTTCCTGCTATTGCCCACCGTTTTCGCATATTTTTGGACTTTAGTTATCATCTTGCTTCCAGAAGCCGCCTGTGGGAGGACATGCCCGACCTGAGGTTTGTGGGCACGTTCGGCCCCGGGGCGACGTGGTGGGGGGGGGAAGGGGCAGGCGAGGCATCTGGCGGTCGTACGGGCCGCGAAGGCGGTTCCCTGCCGCGGCGCAGCGGCTCTTCGCACTGGCCACGGTGAGTAGGCTCACAGGGGGGGCGCGTCGACGCCCCATCGGCCTTCCATCGCCGATATGGGACGCCCAATCGCCCATTCATCGCCGATAGGGGCCCGCTAGCCCATCCCTCTCAGGACCGTGCAGACGCGCTACCGAGGGCCTAGTTATATAAGCCTATCGCTCATCTATCGGTAGGGTATCGACGATGGCAGGTCGATGTTCCCCTCTCCCCCTGAGCTGGTCCCCCCCCCATCGTTCCCCGCGATTGCAGCCCCCCCCCCGGATCGTAACAACAGCGCGTCGGGATGAAACCATTGTCCCGTCTGCATTGGGGGTCCACGCTGCGACAAAAAGCAAGCATGACGTCGAGGGACTGGGAAACAGGACGGCCTCCCCCCGACGCCGGTGCACGGGGTCCGGCAGCCCCGCATTAGCCGGGACAGCTCCTCCGGGTGGAGCGCATCCATGGTGAGGCCCAGGGGAGAAGCAAGGACCACCACCACCGAGAACCCCTTGGGGGGGGGGGCCGACCCCTGGGCGGTGGCGCGCCCGAGCGCCACCCAGAACGGGACGTCGCTCAGGTGTGCCACCGCCCAGGGGTCGGTCCTCCCCGATGGGTTCGCGATTGCGATGGCCCGTGCTTCTCCCCTGAGAGGCACCGCCGCTGGCCCGCCATGGACTTCAGTCACCTCCACCACATGCACACCAGCCGGGACACGTTCACCGACTCCACCGACGACTCGCCGCGCGACTGCACCCCAGAGGCGGGCGTGGCGCGCACCGGCTCCTTCAGCGCCTCGGCGCTGCTGCAGCGCGTCCGACCGGCGAGCCTCGGCGCGGGCTGGGCGGCCTGGAGCAGCGATTCGTTGCAGCACGCCCAGAGCAGCGACTCAATCGTGTGGGCCCCTGCGTCTGAGGCGTCGCTGACCGGGCCCACTTGGGGCCAGTACCTGCTGCGCCCCCTCCGCTTCGTCCGCGCACTGGCGAGCCCCACGGCGCCAGATGGCCTGCGCTACTGCGCCATGGTAGAGAGAGCGCTGTCGGAGGGCGCCTCCTCGCCCACGGCGGCGGCGCCCGTGCCGCGCACGCTGCTGCCGGACGGCAGGGAGACGGTGTGCGCCATCTGCACGGAGCCCTTGCTGCCTGGGGAGCCCGTCCAGCCGATGCTAGGCTCAGCATCGTCCAACCGATCCCCGTCGCCCATCCCCATTGGGCCATTGCAACTCAGCCCTACGAGCCCAGACCACCAGGTGGGCACAGGTCCCGCGAAACCCACAGAGAACTACATATAACATATACCCCAACATGGGCGGGTAGGTCGGTCAGCGGAGCCAAGGCCACGCCAGCAAAGGGATCGGTTCAACGATACTCATAGGCTGCATCCACCTCTTCCACTCGGGCTGCATAGAGGGCCACATCCGGGCGAGGTGCCAGTCCGCCTCCCAGGACGCCGCGCTCGAGGGCGTCGTGCTGTGCCCGCTCTGCCGCGGCCCGCTGCTCGCCTGCTGCGAGGAGCAGCTGCCCGACGAGGAGCGCCGCTTCGCTGCGCCGCTGGGCGCCGAGGAGCAGCTTCCTGTGGAGGAGGAGGAGGAGGAGGAGGAGGAGGAGAAGGAGGAGGAGGAGGTACCAATAAAGCTACCCATCCCTCGCCGCCGCGGCAGGAATCGCCTCGGAGTTCTGGTCGGCGCGCCACCCCCTTGGGAGAGGTCCGGGGAGCAGCGCCATCAGCACCCTGCCGTCCCCCCAGGAGCGTGTCGCCGCGCCGCTGGGCGCGGGGCGTGCCCCGGAGCCTGGTGACCCGAGCACCCCGGCGAGCATGGCTAGCGCCGTCTGAGGCGCGGCCATGCGGGGTGGGTTGGCGGTTGGCGTTGAGTCGGGCATGTCCCCCTACAGGAGGAATAGTCCGACCATAGTCACAAAAGTAGTCCGGGGGCGATTACTCTACGACTTCTGGCCAGTTTCAAGGTCCGCCTGTAGGGGAACATGCCCGACCTCAGGTTGGCGCCGAAGGTTGCTCCCTCTTCATCGCGCCCTCCTCGTCCACCTCCAGCCTCGGCATTTGTTTTTGTTTTCTTTTAATTCGGCTTCCCCACGACGGAAGGAGAGCAGCGTCAGTCTGGAGCAGGGCCGCCCTCTGCTTTCCGCCTTGCCACGCTCCAGCTCCGCCAATGCATCGGCCGGTGGTCGAACTAGAAGAATCGCGCGCACAGCGCGCCGCACAGAATTGGAGCTTTTTTGGCTGGCGTGTTCAACCCACTCGAGCCTCAGCACGCTCTTACCTAATCTCGTAGGCGCGACCGGGACCTCAGGCCACGACCACGCCAAGTTGGCGAGGTGGCAGGCAAACCGGCCGCGCGTTGTGCAAGACGATTGATATAAGTGGCGACCCCCTGTAGGTTTGTCGGCAGGCCGACGAAATCATCAAATAAAGATCTGAATGATACCTCCTCGTGGGTTCCAAATGATTGGTTGTAGGAGTCAATGTGTACATCCCTCATGGTGGCGGAGTCCCATGTGCGTGTGTGTGTGTTTGTGTGTATGTGTTGTGTGTTGTGTGTAATGTGTTGTGTGTTGTGTGTTGTGTGTTGTGTGTTGTGTGTTGTGTGTTGTGTGTTGTGTGTGTTGTGTCTTGTGTGTTGTGTGTGTTGTGTGTTGTGTGTTGTGTGTGTGAGAGAGACGCGATGTGTGGAACATAGATATGTGTGAAACTCTAAGTTCGGAGCCCTTTGCGTGCACCGAGCAACCCACCGCGCCCCACCGCGTGCCGCGCAAATCACCTCGCAACCGATTGCCAAGCCCACAGCGCCACCCGCCGCGCAACCCACGGCGCAACCCACCTCGCAGCGCAAACCGCAGCACATCCCACCGCGCAACCACCATACCCCACCGCACAAACCGCCGCAACCCTCCGCGCAACCGACCCGTCAACCCACTACACACCGCGCAGCCAGCTACGCAACCCACCCGCAACCGCGCAACTACCTTGCAACCAGCGCCCAGCCAACAGCACAACCCACTGCGAAATCCACCCCGCCGCGCAGCCCACGGCGCAACCACGGACCACGGAGAGAGTGGCCAGACATGTGAACGCCAGGCAATTTTTCCCCACCGCGCTATCAGGGCGAGAATGGCCGTATCCAGGCACACCGGGCCAGCTCCTTGCATCAAGGGAGGATCAACCACCCGGACCTGACAACTGGCCCGTACTGAACGGCCACGGGAACTAAACAGCCCTTCCCTGTCCAATCTCTTCGTTTACTACACGGCCTCGCGTGTCGGGGTGCTCATTGTTGGGGGGGGATTTTTGGCCATCTAGTGCAACCGAAGTGAGAACGAACCCCATCAGGTGCAATGCGAACCGATCCGAAGCACGCCCCGATATCCGGTTCCGAGCCGATGTCCCGAGGCGGCGCTGCCGGCGGGTCCTACCCCCCGTGGGTGCGCCGCCGCGTGGGTGCTGGGCCGTGCCCGGCCCCGCGTGCCGTCCGCCACGGACTCTGCGCCCGCCCGACGTGGGGCCCCGCCTCGTCGGGCGCGGGCGCGGAGTCGTCGTCGTTTTTGGGAGTGTCACCTCCTGGTGTTGGCGCCGTGTTTCGCAGCTGTTTTGCAGCCTCCCACTTGGGTATTCCAGAATCTTCACACGATCGTCGTCAACAAATGTAGTTCGTTCTGCATGGCATTTTGATGTCACGTAGCCGGGCTGATGACCCCCCCCCCTCGTCCTCATCCTTCGTCCTCGTCGTCGCCGCCGCCGCCGCCGTCGTCTTCGTCGTCGTCGCCGTCGCCGCCGCCGCCGCCGTCGTCGCCGTCGTCGCCGCCGCCGCTGCCGCCCTCGTCGTCGTAGTCGCCGTCGGTTTCGTCGCCGCCCGAGGAGAGCGGGCTGACGCTCCTGGTGTTCAACGCGGGCGTCGAGCTGTGCACGGCCCAGGTCCGCGCGGACTCCCGCCGCGGCCGCCCCCCGAGCCGCCCTGCCGCGCTCACGCTCCCTCTCTCCCCCCCCCTCCCTTCTCCCTGTTTCCCCCCTCCCTCCCTCCTCCCCCTCCCTCCCTCCCTCCCTCCTTCCCTCCTTTCCCCCTCCTTCCCCCCCCCCACCACCTCCTCCTCCTCCCTTCTCCCTCCTTCCCCCCTCGACTCAGGTAACTCGTACCCGCGTTCAGTGCCTCGGGCAGTGGACCAGTTCACGGTCTAGCCTTTGGGCCACCGTCCCAGGCGTTTTGGATCCTATCTTAAGGATAGTCTCTGGGCCTTTTTCGAGTTCTGTGGCTGGACGAACCAGGCCCCAACGGAGTGTTCTTCTTCTTCTTCTCCCTCCTTCCCCCCTCCCTTCTCTATCTCCGTCCCCGCAGGCCGCCGTTCTGGATCGAGCTGCGCTCGGCAGGACGCCCTGGGGCTGAGACCGGTTTGCTGTGCTCGGCTTGGGGGCCGCCATCTCGGCGGTCAACGCCAGGGAGTTGCACTACAGTCAACGCGCATAGTAAGGACAAACGACTTTTTCAAGGGTACCCTTGGGTCCTTGCCTGCCTCAGCCTCTGCGGCCCGTCCCTAGCAATTTGCGCAGGCCAGTTTCTCAGGTTCCCTGGGTGTTTGGCCGCCTGCCGCCCAGAATACTTCAACTTCGGCCTCCAAGGGTCTTGCGTCCTTACCACGCGTCCTTACTATACGTTTTCACTGTACTGCTTGAACTGCCTGAGCATGCGCTTCGTTGTGCCCGTCGGAGTGGCTTCGAAGGGGTTGCTGACTTTGATCTTGTCCCTCGGAAGACATGACATCGGTGTGTTTTTCATCGGCGACTTGACCCCCCCTCCGCTACTCTGAGAGAGCGGAGTCCGTTCTGCTGAAGGCGGATAGGGGGGGTTCCGTCGCATTCTTCGTCCGCCTCGGCCTATCATGGCTACTCCCCTGGAAGCTGGACCTGGCCGTGTCGCAGCTCGCAGTTCGGTGCTGCCGCCGCCGCCAGCGCCTCCGCCCGCCTCTCTGGCTTCCGTGACGGACGAGTGCAAGATCAGCAGCAAGCTCGAGAAGAAGTTGAACCTGCGTGCCAAACCGAAGCTCAAGAAGAAACAGTACCAGAAGCGCCCGTGTGTGACGCCTACTCGGCCGATTACGCCGAAGAGCCCGAAGCGTCGCTGGACCAAGCATTTCAAGCAATAGAAGGGGCACAAGAAGAGCAAGAAGCAGGAGGATGTCCCGAACCTGGAGCCGAGGAAGATGGTGCTGCCGCCCCGTGCGCCCCCGCCTGGGGAGGTTTCTCCGCAGGACCCGTACGCGACGAAGGTGCAGTCGCCTCCTTCGCTTACTGCGGGACGACGTGCGCCGAGGACGCCGCCACGTCGCAGCACGTCGTGAAATACTACATCGTGGATTCCTGATCCCCCGAGGGCGCCGACTCACCGGTGGAGGTGAAGCACGAGAAGAAGATCAAGAAGAAACATGAGCCTAAGAAGGAGAAGCAGAAGGAGAAGGAGAAGGCTCGTCTCGAGCCTGAACTCACAGGTGGCCCTTTTTACGGAGGATGGGGTGAATGAGCTCTTCAGTGCTACGCCGGCCTGTGCTGCGAAAGAGGCGGGCTTTCAGGTGTGCGCTTTTCGAAAGGAGGCTGGAGCTTATGGTGCTTCAGATGGTGGCGATGGGCTCCCAAATTGTAGCGTTGACGGGTTCGAGACGATGGACGTGGCCCGGAAGCAGAAACTCATTGCTTTGGGTCACCTGCGAGAACGGGCCAGTGCGTCGTTCTCCTGGGGTCTCTCGCCGAGCCGAATCTCGTCGTCTACATCCTAGGTGAGAGCTCCTATGGCATCACGGGGCCGGGTTTATTTTCCTTGGCGGCTTAGTGGACTCGGCCGGGTTCTCCTTGTTGTCCTACGTCTGTCTCGATTGGGTGCCATTTCGGTTCAAACCTCGTTCCCCCCCTGCGCGGGCGCCTCTGTGCGAAGTCGCGTGCAGCAGTGGTCCACAGCAAAAGCTTTTATCTCCGCCCCAACCCCGTCCTCCATGCTCCCCATCCTCTCTCATCCTCCTTCCTCTTCCTCCCTCCGCATCCCCATCCTCCCGCCGTCTTTTCTCCAGCTTCTTCGACTGCTCGGTGCCACAGCGCCACCGCTCCGCCCCTCCAGAGCGGCCGCGCCACGGAGCGCACGCGGGCGTCCGTCCATCCAGCCGCCTTCCCCGATCCCTGCCAGGCGTGTCCTGGGCCCAGGGTTAGTGTATATATGACACCGGGTCGAGGGTTCACAGCCCCCCCCCAGGCGGGGTGGGATGGGCCCCAGGGTTCCACAGGCCCTCCCCCAGATAGGGTTGGGGGCCGACGACGACGACGACGACGACGACGACGACGACGACGACGAAACACCACCCCACACGCACACGGGGAGGGGAGGGGGGCCGGCACTCCCCATCACCACGCCACGCCCACAGGGCCACGACCACCGGTGCTGTGGCGGCGATCCCATTCGCGAGGCTCAAGGGCGTACCCATCCATCGGGGGGGGGGGGGGGGGGGGCGATCCCATCAGCACTGGGGGGTGGAAGGGGGCCAGAACCCTGGATCACATATGCAATGCTGGTCAAGCCAGGAGGGTGCATATCCATCCGCCGATCTTGGGCCCAGGATGGGTATGGCCAGAACTGGTGTGTATGTTCAGTTGGCGTCCTCGTGTCCCCCCGCGACCCTCGTGTGCAGGGTGCCTTGCGCAAGCGGCTTCGGTGGCCCATGGTCTCTTCACACCTATTGATGGTGGTCTCGTGGCCCCTTCGGCGCGGGTGGCCCTTCGGTGGTCTCTGCAGCCTCTGGCGCCCTTCTGGCGCCCTTCTGGCGCCCTTCTCGCCTTTGGGCCTGTGCCCTGTGGGCGTGGGGAGGGCGCCTCCCCCGATCCACGGATTTGGCGACCGCGCGCCAAACCCATGGATCGCCAATCCATGTCTGCGCGCCCCCGATTTGCGTGTGGCCCGCGTCCCCTTGTCTCGACGCCCCCCGTGCGGAGGAGGAGGAGGATGAGGAGGAGGAGGAGGAGGAGGAGGAGGAGGAGGAGGAGGAGGAGGAGGAGTTGGAGGAGGAGGAGGAGGAGGAGGAGGAGGAGGGGGGAGGCGTGGGGGGGATCCGCTTGCGTGTGGCCCGCGTCCCCTCGTCTCGGTGCCGCCCCGTGCGTGCGCCGGCGCGCGCTCCTCGGGCCCGGGGAGGCCCTCGCTCCGCGGAGGCCCCCGCGCGGAGGCCTCCGGAGGTGCCCGCGCGGAGGCGTCCGCGCGTCCTCGGGGGGCCGTCGTGATCGCTGTTCTCGCTGTGCTCGGTGTGCTCGGTTGTGATCGGTGCGTTTCTGATCCTCGCGGTCGTTGCGGTCGCTGTTATCGTTCTGATCCCTGTGAGCGTTGTGATCGTTGTGATCCTTGTGAGCGTTGTGAGCGTTGTGATCGTTGTGTTTGTGATCGTTGTGAGCGTTGTCATCGTTGAGACCGCTGTGATCGTCGTGAGCGCTGTTGCCGTTTTCACCGCTGCCAGCTCTGCTGTCGCTGTCGCTGCGCGGAGGCCTCTGCAGGCACGCACGGCCCTCGCGAGGGGGGCTCCCCCTCGCGCGCGGGCTCGGCCTCGGTGGCCCGTGTGCGTGTGCGTCGCCTGCGCGCGGGAGTGGCCGCCCTTCACCGGGTGGGGGGGGGGGCCTTCGATGCAGGCCCGCGGGGCCCCCGCCCCCCCCAGGCACTGGCCCGCGCTTTGGTATTGGAGGAGGTGGAGGAGGGAGGAGGAGGAGGAGGCGGAGGAGGAGGAGGAGGAGGAGGAGGAGGAGGAGGCACTGGCCCGCGTTTCGGCATTCGGCCCCCAGGCACAGGCCCGCGCCCGGATTGTCTTTCTCTTTCGGAGCCAGGGAAACGGGGCGCCCCGCGGCCGAGGCGAGCGGCGGAGGAGGAGGCGGAGGAGGAGGAGGAGGAGGAGGAGGAGGAGGAGGGGGAGGAGGAGGAGGAGGAGGAGGAGGAGGAGGAGGAGGAGGAGGAGGAGGAAGGACGAGGGGAGGAGGAGGAGGAGGAGGAGGAGGAGGAGGGAGGAGGAGGAGGAGGAGGAGGAGGAGGGGGAAGGAGGGGGAGGAGGAGGAGGACGACGAGGCGCACGAATAGGTCACTCCTGCCCAGGGTCACCCTCTCAGCTCCCGCCCACACTGAGCAGGGTCCCGCTCTCCTTCCCGCCGCCCCTGCCCAGGGGCATCCTCTCAGGTCGCTGTCGGTGTCGCCGCGGGGTCGCTGTCCATGTGGGACAAGCTCGGGGGAGCATGAAGTCGTGATCATGCTGCGTCCCAGAATTTCCGAGGGTTTCAGGTTCTCTCACTGCTCTTCGCGGGCTCCGCCAGATCCTCCAGAACTCCTGAAACCGATCCTGAGACAATCGCGTCACGATGCCACTCTCGTCCTGCGAGCGTCGCCTGCCCAACAGCGGCCGCTGCCGGTTCTGGACATCGTGTGCTGGTGGGCATCGCCCCTAGGTTTCCCGTGCCCACAATCGGGCGTGCCGAACCCCCGCGAGCGGGAGCGGGCAGCGCACCCCGCTGCCCCGCCGCAGAGAGGAGGGGGGTCGAACGCCGGCTGCGCGAAGCAGAAGAAGAGGAGCGCAGCAGCAGGGGAGGCGCCGGCGGCGGCGTTCTCGTCGACGCACACAGCGACGACGACGACGACGACGACGACGACGACGACGACGACGACGACGACGACGACGGCGACGGCGACGAGGGCGCTGGCGGCGGCGGCGGTGACGGCGGCAGCGACGTCGGCGGCGGCCGTCGCTGCGGCACCCCGCGAGGCCGCGCTGGGGCGCGGCGTGCGGCTGGCGCTCGCCTTCCTCGCCTGCTTCTCCGCCCTGGCCGCCTGCCGGTTCCTCATCACCCAGGCCAGCCGGGACCGAGGACCGAGGATCGAGGCTTGCCAGATCGAGGATCGAGGATCGAGGATCGAGGATCCCAGATCGAGGGCCGAGGACTGCCAGTGTGTCACCCTCCCCGTGCCTCGATCGAGGATCGAGGCTGCCCGGTGGTGTTTCGCTTACCTTATGCCCGCAAGACGCCACGAGGCTTCTCGTCGCCACGACTGGATCCCCACAAAGTCCTGGTTAGAACGCGCCCCAGGCCAGCCTCGGCGCATGGTCCTCCTCGTCCGCGCTCGAAGTTGCAGGACTGAGTTGATCATCGATTTGTTTTAAATCCCTTTCGCGCCACCAGGAGCCTCGGCGCATGGTCGTCTTCCTCGTCCGCGTTCGAAGTTGCAGGACTGAGCTTTTTCCAGCGAGTTGGTTCAAATTCTTTCTGCGCCACCAGAAGCCTCCTCGTCGCCCCGGCTGGATCCCCCTCGACATTCTGATCAGAACGCAGCCCAGGAGGGGTTCAGGGGCCGATGTTTGATCTCTGAGCCCCAACTTCCTGGCGTCTTGAAAGCATACAGTCGGGGCGCTGAAGAAGGAACCCGTTTCGTTGGGGAGGGACTCTCTGCTTATTAATTGTTGGACAGTTTGTTTTAGGTTTTCCTTAGGCTTTCGACGGGAAATTGAAGTGAAACTTATGGAAAAAGGGCCTCGTTCCTTATTTAGGGTGCCTTAGGTTAGCTCAACGCCCCGACTGCAACAGCGAAATGTATTTGGTGGCCTCTGTCGGCTCCAGGGGGGCAATTCAGGGTCCCACCAGGGCTGTTCCAAAACTGATCGGGTTGGAAGACCGGTCGCGGGGAAGGGGTCCAGACCCCTGGGGGGCCGCGCTGACAACATTTCGCGATGTCGGGGGGCTCGGCCTCCGTCGGGGCGCGGGATGCAGGTAACGAAGGTCAACACCCATGCGTGGCAGCCGATCCCCTCAGATCGCCTATGGCCGACCGGGTTTGGTGGCCATGTGGAGAGCCACCGCCCCGCCCCCCGGCGGCCTGTGTTGGTCAGCCGCTGCTGCTAGCCAGGGATCGCAACATGGCCTCGGTTGATCTGGGTCAGCGCTGATAGCGTTGACCGGATCTTTCAAAGAGAAGCATGCTCCCATCTATGATTAATGCGAGTAGGATTCCCCCCGTCGGAGCCGACTTTCTGCCGTCCTGCGCTGCCATGCTCATGCCTCCCCCCCGCCGTCTGCTTCGTCGTTTGGCCGCCTTGGTCACGTTGGCCTGCTCATTCATGGAGTCAGAACATTACAAGGCCGTGTTGGAACTGGTAAATCTCACGTGCTTGGCAAAGTGTGCAGTATTTCTGAATCTATAGGTATGAGTGTCATAGGTATAGCACCTACCCATAAAGCCAGAACTGATGCATTCTCCACCGTCTGGTCCGGCTTTTTGCCGCCCTGGAGGCATTGTTGGCGCGCCCAGGCCGGTGCATCCCGTTGGCGGGTCCCCTTGGCCACCCTGCTGGTGCCTCTTCGGCTCGCCTGCCTCTGCTCGGCCCGCACGCCGAAATGGTCGCATGTGCAGCATGCTCCGCGCTGTACCCTCGGGAGGCGCCGCGTGCGTAGTGCTAAGTCGGGCATGTCCCTCTACAGGAGGAAAATTCAAAAATAGTCAAAAAGTTGTTTGGGGAGGATTTTTCTACTACGTTTGACTAGTAATTGAACTTTTTGTTGCCTATTGTTTTCCTTCCAAAAACGGCGTGTAGGGGGACATGCCCGACCTAAGCGTAGTGCCTTGGAGCCGCCATTGCGCTATTCGCGCGGAGGGGTAGGCTTCTCATTCTGTGTCCCTCTGCTGTCTTCGCCCCATCTGGCCACGTGAGGCCCCGCCTTCTTCCGCCCTTTCTCTGCTAATTAAAGCTGTGCGCGTCCCGCTTAGCTTTCAGCGGAAGAGGTTCGCTCTCGCCCTGCAGATAAAAAAAACTGTCTTCGCCCCACCTGGCATCCGCCCTCGCATCGAATGCTGCTGCGCCGCTCGCTCGCTCGCTCGGCCTTCGCCTTCCCCTCCGCGGGCATCCTCTCGCCCAGGGCTTCCCCCCTGTGGGCTGCGCGAGGGTTGACCTAAACAAACTTCCCCTTCTTGGGCCGTCATGGGGCCATCTTGGAGGCCTCTTGGGCGACCTTGGGGCGACCGTGGCGGCCTCTGGGGCCGTCACGGGCCGCCGGAAAGCCGAGAAGGCGCAAATGCCCAAATCATTCAAAAACCTCAGGAACATCAAGCATTTGGGCCTCGTCGGGCCTCCTCGCGAGCACCCCGCCCGCCGGCTCTCCCCGGCCCCGCCGCCTCGGCGGCCCCGGCGGCCCCGGCGGCCCGCCCCCGCTGGCCGCCGGCGCTGCGCCGCCCTGCCCGGCGCCCGTGTGCTGCATCCCGTGGAGCGGGGCGAAGCGATCTCTGACGATCCTCCTCCTCCTCCTCCTCCTCCTCCTCCTCGTCCTCCTCGTCCTCCTCCTCCTCCTCCTCCCTCCTCCTCCTCCTCCTCCTCCTCCTCCTCCTCCCTCCTCCTCCCTCCTTCTCCCTCCTCCTCCCTCCTTCTCCCTCCTCCTCCCTCCTCCTCCCTCCTCCCTCCTCCCTCCTCCTCCCTCCTCCTCGTCCTCCTCCCGAAGCGAGCAGGTGGTTCTGGGCCGCTGTCGGTCTCCGGGGGCCCTCGCCGGGCCTCGGGCGCGTCAAAGACCGGCGCAGGACGAGAAGCGGGCCCCATGGGGAAGTGGTCCGGACCTCTGCAGGTGGGGCCCAGGCGTCGAAAGGATTGGAGCAGCCGGATGTCTGGGAAGCGATCTCTGACGATCTGTGTCGCGTGCACCTCCCGGTTCGCGCCGCGCCTGAGGCCGCCTGGAGTTCAGCCGAAGTTTTGCGCGTGCGTGATGCTTCATGCGCACAATAGGGGCCCGACCACAAGAAGCCTTCCACAGGAAACCCAACCCTGAGACCACAGGTTGTCCATTGTTTTTCTGGTGTGGGAGCGTCACCCCTTCCATAGCAAAACCATCGAAACCCAAGAAACCCAGGGCACCCTCCGTAGCCATTTTGGCTCAAGAGCATTTCGATTCGGACCGTCGTAGTGCGAATCGCATACCGCATATACACCTACAGTACTTTCCACTTCGCACACCCAGGTAATCTCCTCTCAGTCCGTTCCGTGGGATGGCAGCCGAGAGAGCTCGCTGGACCGTGTGCTTTGTGACGCTGCTTCTCTACAGCGTTTCCACCGCCACTTCTTTCAAGCTGGGGGTGAACACCAGCACTCATGAGACCGAATGGCAACAACCACCTCTCCGCACGGAGGCTCAATTATCTGCGTGCGCGGCCTACGCTGGGGAGTACGAAGTCTGGTACAACGGGGAGCAGCGCAGTACGAATCTGATAATTTATTGCGACTGCACCGCGACCCAGCCTGGAATTTTCACGGACAGCCTTCGTTTTACCAGTGTCTCGTCACAGTGCCCTGGCCTCGGTGCTTCTCAGTTCTATATCTTGAACACGCACGGGTCCGGCAAGTATGAGTGTCTGTACCAGAGCGGCACCACGATCTCAGGCTATCATTACATCAGCTGGAACGCATATTGGGGGACCATCGAGTACCGACTGATAAGCCGGGACTCTATTTGTAACCCTTTCACGGTCGATTGCACTGGGCGCAACTACGCTAACCAGGTTGCATATTGCCAGTCGCAGGGCTTGTCCATCGCCAGCATCCACAACGATGCCGACAACAACGCGATCTTGAACTTGCTCCAATCTCAGGGGTGCAACGCGTATATTGGCGCTGAGTCCAACGGTGCTGGCGTCTGGTCGTGGAGGGACGGCACGCCATGGAACTACGTCAGCCCGTTGAACGACGGGATCAGTGGCTACAGCTGCGTACCTGAGTGACGGCTGGTGGCACGACTGGGAGACGGGCGATTCTATTCATGGTGTGGTGTGCCAGGGCGTCGCGGCGACGCCCAGCCCGACGCCCTACCCGACCCCCTACCCGACGCCATACCCGACGCCGTACCCGACGCCGAACCCAACGCCGAACCCGACGCCGAGCCCGACGCCGTACCCGACGCCGAATCCGACGCCGAACCCGACGCCGAACCCAACACCGAACCCGACGCCGTACCCGACGCCGTACCCGACGCCGAATCCGACGCCGACCCCGACCCGACGCCGAATCCGACGCCGAGCCCGACCCCGTACCCGACGCCGTACCCGACGCCGTATCCGACGCAAAACCCGACGCAGAACCCGACGCCGAGCCCGACCCCGAATCCGACGCCGTACCCGACGCCGCACCCGACGCCGTACCCGACGGCCTCCCCGACGCCCTACCCGACGCCATACCCGACGTTTTACCCGACACTTTTCCCAACGGCCTTTCCGACGCCGTTCCCGACGGCTTTCCCAACGGCTTTCCCGACGGCCTCCCCGACGGCCTTCCCCACGCCCAGCCCGACGCCTAGCCCGACGTACCCTCTAGGCTGGCCGACGCCGCATCCCACGTTTCCTCTTGGAGCTCCCATGGCGGGCGGAGCCGGCGGTGCGGCTGCCACTGGCGATCCTCACCTGCAGAACGTACATGGCGAGCGGTTCGATTTGATGAAGCCTGGCAAGCATGTTCTGCTGAACATTCCGCGTGGAGCGAGCGCTGGCGACGCACTGCTTCTTGTGCAAGCCGATGCGCGTCGGTTGGGTGGAGCTTGCGCGGATATGTACTTCGTAGACATCAACATCACAGGGTCTTGGGCGGAGGCAAAGCAAGCTGGAGGATACCGCCACGCCATCTCAGACCGTGTCGTCGACACTCCGCGATGGATCGCCTTCGGTAAGGTTGGGTTGAAAGTCGCTCAAGGGCGTACGCAAAGTTGCCTCAACGATTTGAATTTCTACGTGAAACACTTGGGGCGAGCAGGTTTTCCTGTCGGAGGTCTGTTGGGGGAGGACGACCACAAGGATGCCATGACTCCTTCAGCGGCATGTGTCGCCCATGTGAGTCTTTATGTTGCCTCGGAACTGTTCTGATCCCTGATTTTTGCCCAAGTGGATCTTTTGGAAGGGTATCCAGCTGTGAAGAGCCATAGCTCCTCCATGAGGTCGGTTGCGGATGCAAGCTTTGTCTGTCCATGGCTTGAACAGTCGTTGTGCCTACATCTCTGTTGCCGCGTCGCTCTTTGGCCCTTGTGGACGCGATTGTTCTACCGAGTTTTCCCCAAGAGGATCGGTAGAATTATCGTGGTGCAGTTTGGATGGGTCGTGAATGCTGTGTTACCGCCGCCCGAACCCGACTTGGAGTTGTTTGGATGGGGCCTTCTGGATTATTGGAGTGAGACAGGAGGGTGGAGGCGGTGGAGGTGGAGGGGGCGGAGAAGGTGCTGGGCTCGAGCTCTTCGCACTACAGTTAGTGGCCCTCTGTCACGCAGGGCTTCTGATTCTTCTGTGCGCAGCTTGCGCCAATCCGCACCACTTTCAGTGGCTGTCCGTTCGTTGCCCCAGGGCCTCTGGGACTTCTGTGCACGGCTCGCGCCGATGAGCATCACTCTCAGGGTGTCTGTTTTACATGGTGTCTGAGACTTCTGTGCATGGCTTGTGCCACTTTGCACCACTTCCAGTGGCTGTCCGGCACCATCTGGTTGCCATTTAAGCCACCGCTTTGAGGCTGCTGCGTGGGTCAACTCCCCCAGCATGTCTGCACTGCGGTCCACGAGAGCCGCCGCAGGTTGCTGGCGCCCAGCTGTGAGGCGGTCATCTCATGGTCGTGTCCACCCCAAAAAAAGAAAAAAATGCCCTGGCGACGTACCCAACCCCTGCGCAAAAGCGGGGCGCAAATAGTTTAGGATACTTTATAAGGGGGCGATGGCGGAGCGAGGGTTACATACGTCTGCAGACGGAATTCGGGAGACTCGCAGGACACTGGCTACAGGAAAAGGGCTTGATAAAGCTGATGATTTACAATTCCTGAGCACTCCTAGCCACTTCGAAAACGGTGATCACAGGCAGTGGCCAGGTTCGAAAGTGGCGACAGGTTCAGCAGATCGCAGTTTCGCAGATCGCAGCCCCCCAGGGATGGCGAGGTCTAATTTGAAGCCCTCACTGTGCTGGGCCCCCCAGCAGGCCTCGAAAATGGCGACAGTTTCGCAGATCGCAGCCCCCCCGAATGGCCCTCACTGTGCTGGCCCCCCCCTCGGCGAGGCCTAATTTGAATCAGCGCGTGGCCCTCACTGTGCTGGGGCCCCCAGCAGGCCTCGAAAATGGCGACAGTTTCGCAGATCGCAGCCCCCCAGGGACGGCGAGGTCGAATTTGAATCTGCCCGTGGACCTCACTGTGCTGGGCCCCCCAGCAGGCCTCGAAAATGGCGACAGTTTCGCAGATCGCAGCCCCCCAGGGACGGCGAGGTTTAATTTGAATCCGCGCGTGGCCCTCACTGTGCTGGGCCCCCCAGCAGGCCTCGAAAATGGCGACAGTTTCGCAGATCGCAGCCCCCCAGGGATGGCGAGGTCTAATTTGAATCCGCGCGTGGCCCTCACTGTGCTGGGCCCCCCAGCAGGCCTCGAAAATGGCGACAGTTTCGCAGATCGCAGCCCCCCAGGGATGGCGAGGTCTAATTTGAATCCGCCGCGTTACCCTCTATGCAGGACCCCCCAGCAGGCCTCGAAAGTGGCGACAGTTTCACAGATCGCAGCCCCCCAGGGATGGCGAGGTCTAATTTGAATCCGCGCGTGGCGTCACTGTGCTGGGCCCCCCAGCAGGCCTCGAAAGTGGCGACAGTTTCACAGATCGCAGCCCCCCAGGGATGGCGAGGTCTAATTTGAATCCGCCGCGATTACCCTCTATGCAGGACCCCCCAGCAGGCCTCGAAAGTGGCGACAGTTTCACAGATCGCAGCCCCCCAGGGATGGCGAGGTCTAATTTGAATCCGCCGCGATTACCCTCTATGCAGGACCCCCCAGCAGGCCTCGAAAGTGGCGACAGTTTCACAGATCGCAGCCCCCCGCAGGCAAGACAGAAAGAGGCAGGAAAGAGGCGGGAGGCGGGAGGAGGAAAGACGCGACCACACTGCTCTATTCAAAACGGATACCCAACCAAGGAGGGTTGGGAAACATTACCCTGGCGACGTACCCAACCCCTGCGCAAAAGCGGGGCGCAAATAGTTTAGGATACTTTATAAGGGGGCGATGACGGAGCGAGGGTTACATATGTCTGCAGACGGAATTCGGGAGACTCGCAGGACACTGGCTACAGGAAAAGGGCTTGATAAAGCTGATGATTTACAATTCCTGAGCACTCCTAGCCACTTCGAAAACGGGGATCACAGCAGGCCTCGAAAGTGGCGACAGGTTCACAGATCGCAGCCCCGCAGGGATGGCGAGGTCTCATTTGAATCTGCCCGTGGCCCTCACTGTGCTGGGCCCCCCAGCAGGCCTCGAAAATGGCGACAGTTTCGCAGATCGCAGGGATGGCGAGGTCTAATTTGAATCTGCGCGTGGCCCTCACTGTGCTGGGCCCCCCAGCAGGCCTCGAAAATGGCGACAGTTTCGCAGATCGCAGCCCCCCAGGGATGGCGAGGTCTAATTTGAATCTGCGCGTGGCCCTCACTGTGCTGGGCCCCCCAGCAGGCCTCGAAAATGGCGACAGTTTCGCAGATCGCTGCCCCCCCCCCCCCCCCCGCCCCCCAGAGATGGCCGAGGTCTAATCTGAAATCTGCCGCGATTTACCCAACTGCGCTGAGGCCCCCCCGCATGCATGCTGAAAGTGGCCAGTTTCCAGATCGCAGCCCCAGGGATGGCGAGGTCTAATTTGAATCCGCCGCGTGGCCCTCTGTGCTGGGCCCCCCAGCAGGCCTCGAAAGTGCAAATGGACACGACAGTTTCACAGATCGCAGCCCCCAGGGATGGCGAGGTCTAATTTGAATCCGCCTGTGGCGTCACTGTGCTGGGCCCCCCAGCAGGCCTCGAAAGTGGCGACAGTTTCACAGATCGCAGCCCCCCAGGGATGGCGAGGTCTAATTTGATCCGCGCGAGTACCCTCTGTGCAGGGCCCCCCAGCAGGCCTCGAAAGTGGCGACAGTTTCACAGATCGCAGCCCCCCAGGGATGGCGAGGTCTAATTTGAATCCGCCGCGATTACCCTCTATGCAGGACCCCCCAGCAGGCCTCGAAAGTGGCGACAGTTTCACAGATCGCAGCCCCCCAGGGATGGCGAGGTCTAATTTGAATCCGCCGCGATTACCCTCTATGCAGGACCCCCCAGCAGGCCTCGAAAGTGGCGACAGTTTCACAGATCGCAGCCCCCCAGGGATGGCGAGGTCTAATTTGACCCGCCGCGATTACCCTCTATGCAGGACCCCCCAGCAGGCCTCGAAAGTGGCGACAGTTTCACAGATCGCAGCCCCCCAGGGATGGCGAGGTCTAATTCGAATCCGCCGCGATTACCCTCTATGCAGGACCCCCCAGCAGGCCTCGAAAGTGGCGACAGTTTCACAGATCACAGCCCCCCGCAGGCAAGACAGAAAGTGGCAGGAAAGAGGCGGGAGGCGGGAGGAGGAAGGACGCGACCACACTGCTCTATTCAAAACGAATACCCAACCAAGAAGGGTTGGGAAAAAATACCCTGGCGACGTACCCAACCCCTGCGCAAAAGCGGGGCGCAAATAGTTTAGGATACTTTATAAGGGGGCGATGACGGAGCGAGGGTTACATATGTCTGCAGACGGAATTCGGGAGACTCGCAGGACACTGGCTACAGGAAAAGGGCTTGATAAAGCTGATGATTTACAATTCCTGAGCACTCCTAGCCACTTCGAAAACGGGGATCACAGCAGGCCTCGAAAGTGGCGACAGGTTCACAGATCGCAGCCCCGCAGGGATGGCGAGGTCTCATTT